CATAGTCTAATTTTCCAACAATTTAACTTTCCTTTTCCTATTTATCCTTTTCTATATAATCCTGAAACGATATTCTGGCCGAACCATTACCAACACATTTTTTCCCTTCGTCGGCTCTTTTCACCTCAAAGAAGCCAACGCCTTAAACAAAAATGTCTTTTCTATACCGACATCCTTCCCCACCCCTTCAAAATCCAACGTATATAAACACAAAATAGCAAAATCTCACTGGCACTCTCAACACGACACGCAAGTATGGCACAATTACACAGAAGAAAACACTTTGAGTGAGTAGAAATACTTTGATTGAATATATAAAAAAATAAATTTTGCATTGTATAAATTCATTTTTCCACATCCAAAATGTAATTGTAATATGTAAACAATGTTTGTAAATCCCAGGCCCTGAAGATGATCTCAATAAAGATCGAAACGTTGGCACGATAAAGAAAATGTTTTTCTGAAACCTATATCGCACCAGACCGCATTTCACGATTTGTAAATAAATATTTAATAATGATAAAACATAATTTCAAACATCTAGTAGGTTTCGTGGTCCGATTGATCAAATAAATTATTTTCAATTAATTAATCTTTAATCAAGGTTTTGGTTGTGATAAAAAGAGTTAGTGTCACGAGCGGGATTCGTCCCCCGAACTTCGGCGAAATACGCCGCGGCGCTACCACTTGAGCTATACCGCAAAGGTTGCTAGAGAAGCGGCGTATTGAGCCGAAGGTCGTGGGTTCGAATCCCACTCGTGACACTGAATTTTTTAACACAATCAAAACCTTAATTAAAGATTAATTAATTCAAAAGAATTCATTTGGTCAATCGGACCACGAAACCTAATAGATGCAAAAGCAAAATGAAGTATACTTCACTAACGCTCTCTGTGGCCATTTCATTTTTCACCGAGAATCGAATAGATTACACGACATTTGAAAAATGGCAAAAAGGAGGGAAAATTCAAAAGGTGGGGTTGAGATGGGAAGTTAGTGTCCGCGTGGATCGAAGTTACATTAGCTCAAGTGGTAGAGCAGAAGGTCGTGGATTCGAATCCCGCTCGTGACACTGACTTTTTTATCACAACCAAAACCTTAATTAAAGACAATTTAAAACATTTTAGTCTGATTATAAAAATATAAGATTAATTAAATGAGCAAAATTTATTGTGATTTCGTCGTCTGTTACCTACCCTCGCTAATTCGACTTGTCAGACGCATTTAGGTAGTTTTAAGGTGCGTTGGTGTGGTATTCTTTGTCAAGTCCCTTTTCATACTAACCACAATTTATTCGAAAGATGTCTGTCATAGAAATCAGTGTGATCGACTGGCCTCTCAACACAACACGCAAGAATAGCACAATTGCACAGAAGACAAACACTTTGAGCCCTGAAGATGATCTCAATAAAGATCGAAACGTTGGCACGATAAAGAAATTATTTTTTTAAACCGACATGACACCAGACCGCATCTCACGATTTCCAAATAATAATAAACAAAGTAAAATATAAACAGCACTAAAATAATTAAAAATAAAAATCACTGGTATAACACACAGCTTTTCTTGCTTATACCATTAAGGAGTCAGATATTTTGCATAGGTAGAAGTTAGATGCTTTATCATTGTTTTTACATTATATTATGCTTTATTCTCTTATGTTTCCACGAAACTGTGATATATCTCCCTACCGATCTACAGATTGCATTTTCCCTCATAGTGAGACGTGCAAAAAATTGTTTCGTGCTCACGACTATGACGTCGCAAATCCATTTTATGCCAGTTTCCGTATGAAATTGGGGAAGCCTTGTGTACCTCGGAGATGAAGTGGCTCTTAGGAATTTGTTTTGTATGAATTGAAGTTTTTTATATTTGTGTCACAAGTGTAGTTCCGTGTAGGACAGGCGTACAACAACATGGATCTGACGATGGCTTTAAAAATTAGAGTTTTGTTCCCCATGCTGAGAAGCGATTCTCTACATAAAAGCGGAATTAATGTCTTAATGGCACATCGTCCCCTAACGACTAGCCCTTGGATGTCCTTACCAAATTTAAGTTTCCTGTCTAGTTTAAGTCCCAGATAAACAACTGACGGTCACTGGTCATTCTGGCATGACTATACCCTTTGGTTGAACTGAACCAGAGACTATGGAGCTACAAATTTTTGTTCATAAAAAATGTTAAATAGACTAGTTTGAATATTAACTAGCACAGATATTTATAATGTATTATTTAGCAATGCCCTATTTCGGCGCAGATCAGACGATGGATATCCTGAAATTAGATCTGGAGTTTATCTCTGAAGAAGCCGATACTTTGGCATGTTACAAAGCCGATTCGACATGTGCGAGCATACTTGGTCCCGAGTTTTTTGCCCGGCCTACGTCCGACCGGTCGGGTGTTCCTTTTGCAAAAAAAAAGCGAAAGGATTCTCGTTACAATATGGAGTGAAATGGAGTGTATACAGATCCTTTTAAAAAGGGAAAAGGGCCGAGTTGAAATATGTGTTAAAATGCGGTATTTGTCTCTACTGACCCGTTTACCCGCTGCTGCCAGCGAGATACACTATCTCTCAGAGCTATGGCCTGTGAACTCCTACATACGGACTTTTCCTCTCTATAATAAATTTCACCTTTTTAAAGTTAGGATTAGCTTTTAACACGTGCTTTTTCCCCACGAGTACTCATATTTATTTGTTCAAGTACTTCGACTCCAAAGTTTCCACTTTATCTCTATGTTATATTAGTTTTTTAGAAAAATAAATTTTAATTTAATTCTTGTAAAATATGTGGAGTTCATGGAGGTCATTAGACAGGTGTAGAAAGAAGATGACTAATTGTTGGGTTCACAAACTTTCGGCATCTTATAGTGCCATCCTCAGGGCTTTCACAAGTGTGCTGAAAACGATTAAAATGGAAAAACTATTGTAAAAGCCTCTTGGGTTTAAGGTTATGAAGCACATGGCCAGAATTCTACATTTAACATGGTGAAAATAGTCATCTCGATAATAAAAATCCATATGACTATGGTTCAACAATTTTGTTCTGACAAGCAGTTTTTTATATGTAACATTTATGATCACAGAATATTTTGACTATGGCTATTTATAAAAACTATGCATACAGGATTAACATTAATGAGAGATTATAATTAATTAAGGTTTTTTGTTGAGATGAAAAAAAGTTAATGGCACGAGCGGGATTCGAGCCCACGATCTTCGGCTAGATACGCCGTTGCTCTACCAGTTGAGCTATCGTGACCTCGATCCACTCGGACTATCTCAACCTCACCTTATGAGTTTTCCCTCCTTTTTGCCATTTTTGAAATGTCGTGTAATCGAATTGGATTCTCGACGACAAATGAAATGGCCACGGAGAGCTTTAGTGAAGTGTACTTCATTTTAATTCATTAAATTCACTAATTTCGTGGACCGCTTGACCAATTAATACATTACAATTAATTAAGGTTTTTAGTTGAGATGAAAAAAAGTTAATGGCACGAGCGGGATTCGAACCCACGATCTTCGGCTAGATACGCCGCTGCTCTACCACTTGAGCTATCGTGACCTCGATCCACTCGGACATCAACTTCCTATCTCAACCCCACCTTATGAGTTTTCCCTCCTTTTTGCCATATTTCAATTAATGAGAGAGAGCTAGCGACAACACCGCCGCCTCAGGTTGGACTGTCCCATGACCTCCATGAAGATTGAAACTCCAAATAGATTATCTGCAGGTTGATCAAATAACATAAAATATTAATTGTTATGCCTAGTGGATGGTTGTCCGTCCAAACATTAGATATGGTGAACATGGCTGAAAAAGAACCCTACACCGACGCTATTATTAACTGCTATTAGCTTGGTCGTTTCCGATCATTTGTCTCCACTTGTCAACACTGTTTTACCACGTCAAACGCGTTACATTTTAGTAGTTAGTCTGTGCCTATGATGCTAACTACACTGCAGGTTCGTTCCACAAACCATAAGAAAATTCATACTTTTAATTGTTCCCAGGTAAAAAACTGCCTGTTTTGTTCATTTAACCATCATTAACGACAGTCTACAAAGAAGTGATTCCACTTTTCCTCCCAATTTCAGATTTATCAATTTATTTCCATACCAATTCACTAAAGGTCATCTTAGTCAAGTTGTGGTTCATTTGACCCTTTTCCAATGACCTCTTCCGAACCGTATCAGCGTACTGGATCCCTTTTTTATGCACTGTCACAAGGCTTATAAAAAATGAAACGTTATTTTGCCGCTCTAAAAGGAAATTACAATCAGGAATGTTGTCGCTTAAAACTCTCGCCGAGGCCCGTATCGAGACGCCTGACGTGCTGAGTTTATGTAAATGAGAAACTGCATTTGCCTGTGATACGAGAAAAACCTCCGTTATATTTCAATTTGTGTAATGTGGATTATTTTCTATGAATGCTTTAAGCGGTCGTAAAACATACATGCTTTACAGTAAACAGTTTACAAATAAGTACACGCACATTCTAAAAAGGTAGTAAAACGTTATCGAAGAAGGTCTTAAGTAGTAATACCTAGCGACTAAGAAAGTTTTTTTTTTCGACATTTATATTTAATTATTCAGAAATCGTGAGATGCGTTCTGGTGTGATAGGTTTCAGAAAAACATTTTCTTTATCGTGCCAACGTTTCGATCTTTATTGAGATCATCTTCAGAGCCTGGGATTTACAAACTTGTTTACATATAAGAATTACATTTTGGATGTGGAAAAGTGAATTTATACAATGCAAATCAAATTCAATACAGATAACGTACCAATATCATCACATTACATTCCACACATCAAATATTTTTCACAAAGTCTAATTTCCCAGCAATTTAACTTTCCTTTTCGACGATTTCACGATTTCTGAATAATTATCGATTAACGGTCACTAATCACCACACATTTATATTTAAATTAATATTTCATTGTTCTTAACTCAGTTTTAAAAATATACTGATAGTTGTTCTTTTATGTTTTAGTGGGTGGAGGAAAGCTTCACGAACTTCGAGAAAGGCATCAACTGGCGATCGTACGTTGTCTGCGACGTTGCGTACAATAGCGTCAACAACTGGCTCTGGACGCCTTTCGTCGAAAGGGGAAACGCCAACAGGATCTACATAGAGATCAAGTTCACGATAAGGGACTGCTCACTTTTCCCTGGCAATGCTCTTTCCTGCAAAGAGACCTTTTCCCTGCTTTATTACGAATTCGACGCTGCGACCAAAGAGCCTCCGCCGTGGGAACCAGATAGCTACAACCTCATAGGTAATTTTATCTATTTCTAATCTTATAAAATGATGTCGGGTATTGAATTATTTGAAAAACTGAGCTTTGCGGTTATATTTCATGTAACGTTAGTTTTGTCATCTCACGCCAGTCAGCGAACTTTCTCAGTCGTCCTTCAAATTTCCGGGATTTCTTGAAAAAGTAAAATCCCTGGTGCAGGTAAAAGGGCGGAACCAGCTTCTCAGTTAATTACTGCCGAGATAATTACAAGGAGATAGAATGGTTAATGAAGGGTGAAAACGCGGGGTTGAGAAGGGGTGCGCGGCCGGGGTGGCTGTCATTTAAGGGTGACGCCCTTGTCATCATCAGTAACATTATAATAAAACGAGCGTTTCGCCTCCCTCTAAAGGGTTCGCATTAAAAAATGGTTTACAGGATTTTCTCATTAGAAATAACCCTCGGGTTAGTAGCATAAATCCCCTCGGGCCGATTGACCTGGCACTCGTAAAGAAAAATCATCCCTGCTCTGTCTGCCAGTTACATTGCTCGAAATGCTTGATTTAAAAAATAGGGTGGTTAATCCGTTTATTTTTCTTTTATTCACTGAACGTATAAAATATTTTAACAGCAATTAAAAAATATGTTTAAGCTAAACATTACAAACACGCTTAAAATTCTCTAAAATTTCAATTAATTACACTTTTTGAGGGGCGTCGGTGGCAGCAACGGTTTAGGCGTTGACACGGCGCCCATCACTGTAAGGTAAAGGTATACTTACAAATTTTTTTTTTCTAAAAAAATTTTCTATTAATTAAACTTTTTACGTGAGGTATGGGTTGAGAAGAAAAAGTTAGTGCCACGAGCGGGAATCGAACCCACGACCTTCCGCTTGAAAAATGGCAAAAAGGAGGGAAAATTGGAAAGGTTGGAGGTTGAGATGGGGAGTTATTGTCCGAGTATATCGAGGTCACGATAGCTCAAGTGGTAGAGGAGCGGCGTATCAAGCCAAAGATCGTGGGTTCGAATCCCGCTCGTGCCATTGACTTTTTTATCTAAAACTGAAAACCTTAATTAATTGTAATATATTAATTGGTCAAGCGGACCATGAAACTAGTGAATTGAATAAGTTTAAAATGAAGTATCACGTCACTAAAACTCTCCGTGGCCATTTCATTTGTCGCCGAGAATCAAATTGATTACACGACATTTGAAAAATGGCAAAAAGGAGGGAAAATTCAAAAGGTGCGGTTGAGATGGGAAGTTGATGTCCGAGTGGATCGAAGTCACACTAGCTCAAGTGGTAGAGCGGAAGGTCGTGGGTTCGAATCCCGCTCGTGCCATTGACTTTTTTATCTCAACTGAAAACCTTAATTAATTGTAACTTACATAAAAATATTAATTATTGTTAACGTTTCAATTTCAGGCCGGATAGCAGCGGGCGAGGGAAGGTTCAATACCAATTCCGAAGTCGTAATAAACACAGAAGTGAAGTCCATCCCGGTAACGAAGAAAGGCGTGTATTTCGCATTCCGCGACCAAGGAGCCTGCATCTCGCTGCTCGCCATAAAGGTATTTTTTCCAGCGAAATTTTCCAAGGCGGCGGATCGCTAAACAGCAATCTTGTTCCAGATCTATTACATAACATGCCCCGAGGTGACCATCAATTTCGCCAAGTTCCCGACGACGCCGACCGGCCGGGAGGTGACCCTCATCGAACACGCGACCGGAAGGTGCGTCGAAAACGCCGAAGAGTTCGAGACGCCGACCTACCTCTGCAAAGGAGACGGGAAGTGGTACCTTCCGACCGGAGGGTGCAGGTGTAAGCCCGGCTATGAGGCCGACGTCGAAAAACAAACCTGTATCGGTAAGTAATTTATCACCGGAGTGGTTTCCTTCTTTTTCTCGCCGCGGTCACGAACGCACCACGTGTTGATCTCATCTGCATCTTAAACAAAGACAAGGCCGATTAATAACTCGGCTCGTTCTGTGTTCCCTATTTCAAAAGGTTCTTAATGAATGGCATAGTTTGTGCTCCCTAATGTGTTTGTTGCCCTAAATGGTTGCCTATAACTTTTGGGCGAGCCCAGGGCCGAAAGCGAGTGAGCTCTTCTTCCGTCTTCTTAAAAAAGAAACCTCCATTTGAATGGTATTTAAGTAGTAAAGTCAAAAGGAAAAGGTGCTTCGCTCAAGGCACAGCTCTTATAAAAAACATTTGGTGGAATGATTTCTCTTAATCTAAGTCCTATGGACATGTAATTCATTCTGAAAAAAAAAATGAAAATCTTTTTTGAATTGATTAAACCCCTTTCCTCTTCGTTTTTACAGATCGTTAAACCCCGATCGTTCCGCTGATCGCTATTAAACTTGTTGCGCGCCTTTTGTTCTCTATGTGCCCGATTGCCTCAGGTATCAACTGAGGGCAAATCAAATAACAATCTTAGGCAATTAATTCAATTTAACCTACAAACCTTTCGCTCAAATGTTTTCAATGCCTATTTAAATATTTAGCACTATCAAAACTTTATTTTAAGAGATAATCCAGTGTTGAACAAGCGCGATCGGGTTTTTCACTCTGTTGTTCCTTATTTCTTTCCAATTACGAACAATGATTTTCTTTTTTCTGAAAAAACCTAACCTATTTAGACTTGTATCGTCATATTTGACTCGATGACGTTCTATCATAAAGCTGCCTTAAAACTGTCCCTTCGAGGAAAAAGAGATAAAGGAAACAATCATCCCTTCGGCCCCTGCCGTAGCGCCGTTTCCGCTTCCCCGGAGGTCCTTGATAGCCGTAGCCCTTGATGCTAACGGTAACTGCTCCTGCCAGCACTATTACCCGGCCCCGGAGGAGATAAGGCCCGGCTCCCGAAGTCTGTAAATGAATCCTCAGATTACACACTCAACAGAAACAATTAGATCCCCTCCTCCAGCAATTTCACCATCTCTGCAGAGAACGGAGGGGGTTAAATACGCCCATTGAAATAAGGGTGAAAGAGTTAATGAAATACTCGCAAATAAGAAAATTAAACCCCAACCCAATTAAAAATATACACAGTGTTCATCTCAAAAACTGCCTACTTTCAAATTGCCATTTGCCTTTCATGGTTACAACAAAAAACGTTTTTCCCCCGGTCATTAAAAGCTGCCTTTCCGTCGAATTTGCTCTTTTGATTGTATTAAAAGTAACAATACAAGTAAAAAATTAATTAGAAAAAGGCTGTTTGAGTAATTAGCTTTTCCACTCCGTGTTTGTTGCCTTTATTCTTTCATCCTCTATAAAAATGCAAGGATGGAAGTAGTACTATAGCCGGGAACAAACTTACTCGATGCTACCCGACGCCTTGTCACGTTTTGGTAGGGTGTGCACATCTATGCGACGTCAAGCGCACGCCACGTACAGTCACACAGCATGTATCACAAATCAGTATCACAATCGCAACGCCTCTTTTGTTCTGAATGCATTATTTTGTGCCAAAACCATGTAACAAATTGTTAGATAAATTTAATTGTTTTAAATAAAGTTGTTCCGGTGTTTTGATAGATTTCCGCCTAACCATCATAATTAAATAATTTTTATAAAAACTCATGAATTTTTGATCTCGTTTATGTTATACGTACGGTTTGGTTTCACAAAATTACATATACATGGTTGAAATTAACTACAAAAAATATGAGGGTCCTGTTCTTACGGTACTCGACAAAAATTGTGTAATTTTATGAGCAAAACCATGAAATAAATTGTTACTTAAATTTCAATAAATGGTATTCCGGTGTTTTGATAAATTTTCTTCCTAACCATCACAATTAAATAATTTTTATAAAAATTCATGAATTTTTGATCTCGTTTATGTTATACGTACGTTTTGGTTTATATTAAAATAAGAATGTTGCAATTAATATAACGACAAAATTACATATACGTAGTTTGAAAAAAACCACAAAAAATATGAGGGTCCTGTTCTGACGGTACTCGACGAATGGTGTAATTTTATGAGCCAAACCATGAAATAAATTGTTACTTAAATTCATTCTATCAACAAATGGTATTCCGGTGTTTTGATATTTTGAACCATCACAATTAAATAATTTTTATAAAAATTCATGAATTTTTGATCTCGTTTAATTTGGGTTATATTAAAATAAGAATGTATGCTAATTGAATTAATGTAAAGACAAAATTACATATATGTACATAGTTTGAAAAAACTACAAAAAAAATATGAGGGTTCTGTTCTGACGCTACTTGACGAAAATGGTGTCATTGCAAAACCATGAAATAAATTGTTAGTTAAATTTTATGAGCAAAAGCGTGTAATAAATTGTTAGTTATATTCATTATATAAAAAAATGGTATTCCGGTGTTTTGATCAATTTTCTACCAAACCATTGAAATTATTATTATTATTATTATTTTAAATAAAAACTAACGAATTTTTATTCTCGGTTAATTGGGTTTATATTAAAATTAAGTATGTTGTAATTAATATAACGCCAATAATACATGTAGTCTGAATAAAAATATGAGCGTCCGGTTCTTTTGTTTTCGACTGTACTCGATGCTACCCGACGAAAATCTGGACAGTAGGGATCGCGTAGCGTAGAGTAGGGTAGCGTTGCGTAGCATCGGGCAGATGTGCACGGGGGTAATACAATCTTATTTAAAATTGGACTTGGGATTTGCTTCGGATAGCGTTGCATCGGGTAAGTTTGTTCCCGGCTTATAACATTCGTATCTTCATGTTTTCCAGGGATCGCTATACGATCTGACATGTTAAGACAAGTGGAAATAACGTAACATAATTTTCTTTCATGTCATTACCTTACTTACGACTTACAGAAATTTTACCATTGGCTTGTCTTTAACGATTCAATATATTTTATGTTTCTTGATTCAATGAAACCAATTTATTTATTTACTTTTAATATAGAAAAGAAAATATAGAAAGTCCTACTTATAAATTTGTGTTGTTATCAGAATTCTGGGTATACTTTGGGAGGGAGAGGACTTTGGAAGTTGCCAACTTCTTCCTACGTGTTTCCAGACAATTGGATGGGAGAGAATTAGAATTTTGCGGAGGTATAGCTTTTCACGTCACCCGATTAAAGTTTAAAGTCGAAGCGCAAGTGGGGTGGGACCTCTTTCTCGTTTTCCCTCTTCTCCCTCCAACGGCAGCGAATATGCAAAGTTTCACCCTGTCCTGTTGATTTCCATATTGGCCGAGACTGCCTGACAAGCTGTACAAGTCTCTTCTCGCCGAGAGGAGGAGCGCTGGGCCCGTGGATGGAGCTTTTAAAATTCACGACAACGAAACTTTCCAAAGCCGTTTAGCATATTTTGCCCGAATTTGCATCACGCCGGGATTTCTCATTATAATCTCTTGTTGCAGTCTGCCCGCCGGGCCAATACAAGCACGCCAGCGGCTCCGAGCACTGTCAGCCATGCCCGCCACATAGCAAGAACCCCAACTATGGATCGTCCGAGTGCAGGTGCAACTCCGGCTACTACAGGGCTGAGGAGGATCCAAAAAGCATGCCTTGTACACGTAAGTACAGACCTTTATATTCTTTCTCGCTCACCCAATTTCTTTCCAAATATTAGCACTAAATAAATACTTCCCGTTGTGCTACCTGGTTACATTACTTTCCTGCTTAGCCACTATCAAATGCAGCAATCTTTTTATATTTGTACAATCAAGTTAATGTTAGGGGCTAAAGAAAAGACCCTCATGTCATTTGGTATTCTTTTCAATATAAAATGATACTGGCATATGCTGATTGTCATCGTAGGAAGTACTTTAACAGCTAATGACACAAGTCGATCTACTACCAGGGTGTTTTTTATGCATGTCAGTGTTATCAAATTGATTCACGCAATTCGTGTCAAACTGCAAAAGTGTATTATCAAGAGATAGCCTAAATATAAAAACATGTCAAATTTTGTGGCGTTATGACTGAATAAAGATTCAGGATTCATAGGATATGAAAGATTTCTAATTTTAAACTGCAGAATGTTACTAATTAGAATGTCTTGACAAATTGTTTGTTAAAGCATAGATTTAACCCTTTCTTGCCCAACGTTGCCCCAGGGCAACACCAAATTTAGGAAATTTGCCAAAGCTTAGCTAATCTTAAAGTTCCTTCAATGATTGTTGCAATTGATTTTTTTGGCGCCAATCTAAAATCTCCATCTTGGAATCTTTCATCTCCAATCTTCTATCATTCACCCCACTACTGCATCTTGTGTTTATTGTTATATTTGCAAGACATAAAAATTTTCATATCCAAAACCCTTTCTTGTGGGCAGAACAATGCCAACTTTAGCAATTTTGTTTAAGGTTAGTACGAAATCCCGTGAGTTTAGGGTGGGCGCAGTGTTGTTCCTTGCTCTGTTTCTGTCCGTGCATTGGCAACATGCTTTCCCCTTTCCATTGTGCCAGCCAAATCCTAAATTAAGTACACGGTGTTTTGGTAAGGCCTTTATCAACACAAACCATTCGTAATCGTTTGTGGGAAGTTGGCCTGACATCGTATGCCCTTTTGAGACAAATGCAGCAAAACAGCCCACGAAGGAGAATATGGTGCAGTCTTTCCCGTATCCTCGGTCGTCCTTAAAAGGACAAAGAGGATCTTTAACGTCCGCACCTAGCCTATTCGGCCTTATCGGATGTTTTGATTCTCAAGATGAGAGCTGACGCAGGTCCACATACGACAGAATGGTGTTACTGCCGCAGTATTGGTGTAGGGGCAGCTCAGCCCCGAAGGCCCAAAACAACCTCCCTCCCCGCTTGCTCATTCCGAATGGTTGGGTCTGCATTAAGCATCAGACCGTACGCCGCGCGCATAGAGCTACCTAAGCCGAAATACATCAGCCTGGTCTCCCGCTCACTTCCTAGATAGAGAAGGCAACTCTATCTCCCAGAGTTTGGGGATTCCCTAGCGTAGAAACTTCCGGATCTGCTAAAAAAACCGGCCGCGGTTTTGTTTAAAGTGGAATTGCTAACTACCCCCGAGAGGAGACCGCTTACGGTAAAAGCCTCCACTCGAGCTCAGCCTACACCTATGTGCAAAGCATAGTCGAATAGGAGCGACCGATTCACAACCCGTTCCCATCCGCCACTGCTCACGCATTCGACACTCAGCATAGTGTCATCAACGCTTATACGCTTCCGTCCGATCCGCCGTATCCCGTAAGGCCTGGTGTATAACAGTGGTCTGGTACCCTAATCCTCGTGTGCCTCTGACAAGGCATCCGCCGCCCATGCCGACCCGTAGCCATGTACTTTAGAGAGGTTGCCTCGCCCCCAGGGCTGCACAGTTATTTTGCGCCCGGACACCCCCCTTGTAACTAAGGGTTAGGAGGGGTCACAGGAAAGAGTGAAGGAACCTGGATTGAGAGAGGGACTTGGACGAGGACACGAGGTGCCCCTTTGCAGGGCCCCGAGCCTTAACCACAGTATACCACCCGTCGTCACTGTAGTTCCACATTGAGTAGGCTACAACTCACTGGGCGGGTATGTATTGGCAACATAGACTTATTTAGTGCCAAACTACCTCTCTATTATCGTACTAAACTCACGGGAGTCCCCAGTAACCTTTTAACAAAATCTTTAAGGTCCGCCTTTGCTTGAAGACCCATGAGGGCCATAAAAGGTTAAAGTTCGATTCTTCTTTAATTTACATTCCTTAATGGATTTTATCGCCCCCACTACTTACCTAAAAATAGGAGGGTTGAACGATTTCTTGTGAAGGGTGAATGCAAATCTTGTTGAAACTGCCTTAAAAATTCCGCCCCCGGCCGATTGTCAATTGGCTATCAGCCCCTCGAGCATCGAGAATTCTTAATGTGACGTTGCATATGCAATAGGACTCATTTCCAGGGGACGGTCTTCCCAGAAAAGAACAGGAACTCAGCCAGTGCCCCCCAAAAAAAAACTAATTTAACTAAAGTATTGAATTTTATTAACTGCCGGCGAACTGTTGTCACCCCTTACGCCTCCCCCATCAAAACGTGATGGGGTGTGTCGCCGAGGGTCGTTTCGTCCATTCAAAAAATAAATTGGCTGCCCGTCCGGGACCCGTGAGGTAATTTAGACCTCGCCGTCGGTTTTTTTTTGTCTTTTTTAGACCGCCTTCGGTGGCTGCATCCGAAAGGAAAGAAGGGGATTAAATTTGATTGAGCCGGCGCCATGTTTAATTTTCAGGTCCCCATCAATTTCCGTGTGAATCGGTAAATGATGAAAGCGCCGCACCCGATGTACCTGATCTGTACACAAAAACCAATCTGTCTGACTCATTCCGCTCAAAATCCGGGTTTTCTTACAACTCTCTTGGCCCCGCTTCCGGAGGATAATGCAATTGAATAGGGATTTTAGAAAACAAAAACCGATAATTAAAAAATTATACTTGATCTTGAAATTGGATTTAATATCATTACGAAAGAAAACAAAACGTTTTATGTGTACAAATAAAAGATATGTATTTTTCAATAGGGTATAGGGTTGGAGCAGTTTTTGTTCAGTATACCAACTATTCAAAATAACTAAGGTTGTTATTCAAACTAAATGGCATACAAATGTCATTCAAAATTAGTTCCATATCGAATGTCATGATATTATCCAAATCAAGCACCCCTTGTTTTCCCCCTGAATTTCTTTATGCTTAAGCACGGTTAAAAACGATTCGGTTGAAGTATTAATTAGCTGTGCCAGCAGTTTTATTCGAAAAAGAAATTGGATTGGGCGGATGTAGAACAAAAAAGAAAAAGACGATTTGTTGTACATCCAATGAATTTAAGAAGAGAAAAAGAAGGAGAATTGTACCCTCTCTACAAAAACCTAGTAGATGATAAAGAAAGGTTTTTTAAATAGTTCAAAATAGTCACTATCACTTCAGACAAAATAATTTATAGTAAGCGTGCATGCTGCACACACGACAGACTGCACAGACAGGCGCCAGCACAATTCACCCTTTACGACAATACTGGCGGTTGCTGGCGCGTATGTTCTGCTCAGTTCCTGCAGAAATGAATAATTATGTCGATAATATGTACAATATATATTGTGTGTCTTATCGGGCCCATGCTGGCTCACGATAGCCCAAGTGGTAGAGCAGCGGCGTCGACGAAGGTCGTGGGTTCGAATCCAGCTCGTGACACTGATTTTTTTATATTTGCTATGCGATCAACCAGCCTTCACTACGATGTTGATTAGATTCGGGTTGTAGTCTTCAAACATATAATGTTATCATATCAATGCCCAAGCTTGGCAAGACTGTACAAGTTTTACAGTCTTCTTGACGGGATCTACTGAGGCATAGGCTCATAGTTAGGTAGGTAGTTATAAATTATTTTGTCAATTTGTTGCTACTTACAGATACAAAGTCACAACTTAAACATATTATACAAATTCGTCATATATACATAAACTATACATACTTTTTTATATACACTATTATATACAACTATATACCGGCACCCCGAGTGTTCATATAACCTCGTAGTTGAAATACCCTAAAAAAAATATAAATTTGATAGATATTTTTCGGTACACGGTACTTTAAGACGCTCCAGGGACGACTCGTTACAGGAAAGTCTAGGGGTGGAATTACTCATCACCGGGGGCGGTGAGCGGCGTGGGGTGGTGGGGGGCGGCGCGGGGAAATAATCCTACCCACATACCCTCCCGGCTGATTGCATTACGTTCCCCTCCGCTCCGGATATCAAAGGGAATATAAGTAACTTGAGGAGGGTTGAGTAGAAGTAATTATACATGCAAATACTCCAGGAGAACAAAGGATACCCGGTTTGAAAAGTTGAACGCTTAAATTATGTACGAGAGAGTGCTTGGAATGTCTCACTGAAGAAACGTTCATTATGAAAGTAGCTCTTTCTTTCTTTTATGGAGCCTCGCCTCTCCACATAAATTGACATTGCACAATTGAGAGCCTATTGATAAAGACGTCATTGATTCTCTTCCCTTATTCGTTTGATCATGCCGGTGTCACTTCATGATATTTTCTGCAAATAAAAGTAAAATACTGTCATTTCTAAACAAAATGGTCTTTAACACTATACTAAAATTATTATTTATCACCCATAAAAGACAGTTCTCGATTTTATCTAGGCGACAAATGATTTACTACCAATAAAAATAATGTTGACAATTTATTAACATAACTTATAAAACTCTTGTGTTTTTTTTTGTTAATGGAATTATTATGAAAATGCTAATGAACGACAAAAGTCCTGTCCTTATGCTACTAAAAATTAACAATTTATTCTATTACAATTAATTAAGGTTTTTAGTTGAGATAAAAAAAGTCAATGGCACGAGCGGGATTCGAACCCACGATCTTCGGCTTGATGCGGTTGAGATGGGAAGTTGGTGTCCGAGTGGATCGAGGTCACGATAGCTCAAGTGGTAGAGCAGCGGCGTATCAAGCCGAAGATCGTGGGTTCGAATCCCGTTCGTGCCATTGACTTTTTTATCTCAACTAAAAACCTTAATTAATTGTAATATATTAATTGGTCAAGTGGACCACGAAA